TGTATCCCGCCACCCTGAGTGATACTCTACAACTTATCATGTATCCCGCCACCCTGAGTGATACCCTACAACTGATCATGTATCCCGCCACCCTGAGTGATACTCTACAACTTATCATGTATCCCACCACCCTGAGTGATACCCTACAACTGATCATGTATCCCACCACCCTTAGTGATACTCTACAACTTATCATGTATCCCACCACCCTGAGTGATACCCTACAACTTATCATGTATCCCACCACCCTTAGTGATACTCTACAACTTATCATGTATCCCACCACCCTGAGTGATACCCTACAACTTATCATGTATCCCACCACCCTGAGTGATACTCTACAACTTATCATGTATCCCACCACCCTGAGTGATACTCTACAACTTATCATGTATCCCACCACCCTGAGTGATACTCTACAACTTATCATGTATCCCACCACCCTGAGTGATACCCTACAACTTATCATGTATCCCACCACCCTGAGTGATACTCTACAACTTATCATGTGTCCCGCCACCCTGAGTGATACTCTACAACTTATCATGTATCCCACCACCCTGAGTGATACCCTACAACTTATCATGTATCCCACCACCCTGAGTGATACCCTACAACTTGTCATGTATCCCGCCACCCTGAGTGATACTCTACAACTTATCATGTATCCCACCACCCTTAGTGATACCCTACAACTTATCATGTATCCCACCACCCTGAGTGATACCCTACAACTTATCATGTATCCCACCACCCTGAGTGATACCCTACAACTTGTCATGTATCCCGCCACCCTGAGTGATACTCTACAACTTATCATGTATCCCACCACCCTTAGTGATACCCTACAACTTATCATGTATCCCGCCACCCTGAGTGATACTCTACAACTGATCATGTATCCCACCACCCTTAGTGATACCCTACAACTTATCATGTATCCCACCACCCTGAGTGATACTCTACAACTTATCATGTATCCCACCACCCTGAGTGATACTCTACAACTGATCATGTATCCCGCCACCCTGAGTGATACTCTACAACTTATCATGTATCCCACCACCCTGAGTGATACTCTACAACTTATCATGTATCCCACCACCCTGAGTGATACTCTACAACTGATCATGTATCCCGCCACCCTGAGTGATACTCTGCAACTGATCATGTATCCCACCACCCTGAGTGATACTCTACAACTGATCATGTATCCCGCCACCCTGAGTGATACTCTACAACTGATCATGTATCCCGCCACCCTGAGTGATACTCTACAACTGATCATGTATCCCGCCACCCTGAGTGATACTCTACAACTTATCATGTATCCCGCCACCCTGAGTGATACTCTACAACTGATCATGTATCCCGCCACCCTGAGTGATACTCTACAACTGATCATGTATCCCGCCACCCTGAGTGATACTCTACAAACTTATCATGTATTCCGCCACCCTGAGTGATACTCTACAACTTATAAAACTTGAGTAAGACTCGACCGTTGCCTGGCCATGTTTCTCGTGACATCAACGAGCAAGCAATTATTGTTTTTAAAAATGTAGAAAATGATTAGCATCTGTATATAAAAACCCATTCAGATGCGACTTCACACTTTGCATATGTAAAACCAAACGCATACATTCATGACACTCAAATGATTTATATTATTTCTGAATCATGACTTTTCCTTCTATACTTTAATTATCCCCAAGTGGCCTATTTGGTGACGTTATTAAAATCGGTCCAAGAATACGGAAATAGAAAGAAACGTCCATGCAGTTATGAGAGCTAGCTACATTGAATTATACACTTCTAGTGACGTCGTCCTATTGTTTTTACGGGGCCTGTTTTCGTCGAATACTTTCTACAGAATATCCCTTTTTCCCACGAATATTGTACAGAAAGCCCCACTATGATACTAGATACTAATTATGAAACGAATGATTTTACAAACTTGAACTCCTGATCATCAATGGCCATGCATCCTCGATAAGCTAGTGTATTTTATTATGATACATAATCTAGACCCGTTCGCGACGTTCAGGAAGTCTGGAGTCTGTAATCAGTAGTTTCACACAGAATGTCCCTCGCCCATGTCTTTTGGTCTTACGGCTGTTTATAATTTCACATCTCAAAATGATAGTGTGGTAGCGACTGTGTTGGGTACATCTACCATAATAGGATCGATGTAACAGTTGTAAAGAGATGTAACAGTTGTAAAGAGATGTAACAGTTGTAAAGAGATGTAACAGTCGTAAAGAGACGTAACAGTTGTAAAGAGATGTAACAGTCGTAAAGAAATGTAACAGTTGTAAAGAGATGTAACAGTCGTAAAGAGATGTAACAATGGTAAAGAGATGTAACAGTCGTAAAGAGATGTAACAGTTGTAAAGAGATGTAACAATTGTAAAGAGATGTAACAGTTGTAAAGAGATGTAACAGTCATAAAGGGACGTAGCAGTTGTAAAAAGATGTAACAGTCGTAAAGAAATGTAACAGTTGTAAAGAGATGTAACAGTTGTAAAGAGATGTAACAGTTGTAAAGAGATGTAACAGTCGCAAAGAGATGTAACTGTTGTAAAGAGATGTAACTGTTGTAAAGAGATGTAACATTTGTAAAGAGATGTAACAGCTGTAAAGAGATGTAACAGTTGTAAAGAGATGTAACTGTTGTAAAGAGATGTAACATTTGTAAAGAGATGTAACTGTTGTAAAGAGATGTAACATTTGTAAAGAGATGTTACTGTTGTAAAGAGATGTAACATTTGTAAAGAGATTTAACAGTTGTAAAGAGATGTAAGAGTTGTAAAGAGATGTAACTGTTGTAAAGAGATGTAACAGCTGTAAAGAGATGTAACATTTGTAAAGAGATGTAACAATTGTAAAGAGATGTAACCTTTGTAAAGAGATGTAACAGTCGCAAAGAGATGTAACAATTGTAAAGAGATGTAACAGCTGTAAAGAGATGTAACAGCTGTAAAGAGATGTAACAGTCGTAAAGAGATGTAACATTTGTAAAGAGATGTAACAGTCGTAAAGAGATGTAACAGTTGTAAAGAGATGTAACAATTGTAAAGAGATGTAACAGTTGTAAAGAGATGTAACAGTTGTAAAGAGATGTAACAGTTGTAAAGAGATGTAACAGCTGTAAAGAGATGTAACAGCTGTAAAGAGATGTAACAGTCGTAAAGAGATGTAACATTTGTAAAGAGATGTAACAGTCGTAAAGAGATGTAACAGTTGTAAAGAGATGTAACAATTGTAAAGAGATGTAACAGCTGTAAAGAGATGTAACATTTGTAAAGAGATGTAACAGTTGTAAAGAGATGTAACAATTGTAAAGAGATGTAACAGTTGTAAAGAGATGTAACATTTGTAAAGAGATGTAACAGTTGTAAAGAGATGTAACAATTGTAAAGAGATGTAACAGTTGTAAAGAGCTGAACAGTTGTAAAGAGATGTAACAGTTGTAAAGAGATGTAACAGTTGTAAAAAGATGTAACAGTTGTAAAGAGATGTAACAATTGTAAGGGATGTAACAGTTGTAAAGAGATGTAACAGCTGTGAAGAGATGTAACAATTGTAAAGAGATGTAACAGTTGTAAAGAGATGTAACATTTGTAAAGAGATGTAACAGTTGTAAAGAGATGTAACTGTTGTAAAGAGATGTAACAGTTGTAAAGAGATGTAACATTTGTAAAAAGATGTAACAGTCGCAAAGAGATGTAACAGTTGTAAAGAGATGTTACTGTTGTAAAGAGATGTAACAGTCGCAAAGAGATGTAACTGTTGTAAAGAGATGTAACAGTCGCAAAGAGATGTAACTGTTGTAAAGAGATGTAACAGTCGTAAAGAGATGTAACAGTTGTAAAGAGATGTAACCTTTGTAAAGAGATGTAACCTTTGTGAAGAGATGTAACAGTCGTAAAGAGATGTAACCTTTGTAAAGAGATGTAACTGTTGTAAAGAGATGTAACATTTGTAAAGAGATGTAACAGTTGTAAAGAGATGTAACAGTTGTAAAGAGATGTAACATTTGTAAAGAGATGTAACAGTCGCAAAGAGATGTAACAGTTGTAAAGAGATGTAACAGTCGCAAAGAGATGTAACTGTTGTAAAGAGATGTAACAATTGGATCTATAAAGAGTAAGCATTTAAATAGGAATGTATAGATAGAAAAGTATTACTTTTTCCATTTTTTTCATTAAAATTATTTGTGATACTCAACCTAATCTGCCAGTAATACCGACTGATTTTTTGTTTGTGTGTTATTTAACGCCGCACGCAGCAAATATTCCAGCTAAATGACGGCGGTCTGTAAATAATCGAGTCTGGGCCCACACAATCCAGTGACCACCCGATCCCGTTAGTCGCCTCTTAAGACAAGCATAATCGCCTTTTACGATTCTAAACGAATTCTGAATGGGTGAGTTGGTGAGTAACTGAAATAAACGGATATTGTGTCCATAAGTGGGTAGCCATGTTAAACCTGCGGCATGGTATCACAGTGGGCTTACTCTACACACACAAACACACGCACGCACGCACGCACGCACGCACGCACGCACTCACTCACTCACTCACTCACTCACTCACTCACTCACGCACGCACGCACGCACCCACGCACTCACGCACGCACATGCGCGTCGCTATATAAGTGCAATAATCTTGAACGCCACGTTATCCCCATTTCACCTCACCACCCAATGATACGCGTGAGTTGGCCTATTGTTTATGGCTGTGTGTAGAGAATGTAGGCTTTCCTGTTCGTTTTACCGGAGTAACTTCATGCGTTAACGAGACCCTAGCGATCTTCTGTCCGCGAAATGTCTACAACGTAACCCCAAACGCCACTTGTTGAAAACGTTACGCGGAATACCCTCAAATATATAACCGACAGTTTCAGAGGTTTGTTTGACAATATTTTCAACATTCTTCGGAAAGTATTACACGGTTACCCTATAACCAAGAAGGTATTTGATTCCACTTCTTACAGGGGTTTCTGCAGCAGATCAAGTGGACATCCTTAACCTTCACAACACCCTCAGAAACAACGTCAACCCTGCAGCCACTAATATGCTCAAGTTGGTAAGTAAGGCAACATAACAAACAATACAATGGTAGTATTTTGTCTAAAGTTTCTCAAGATACTGTTTGCAACAAGGACGCATTAATGTGGACTGTCTGAAACCTGGATTGTATTGGTAGTTTGGGATCGCTCCATGCGATAACTTTAGGAGTGACAGTACTCACTGATCGTTGGTTCCAATTGTTCAAATCTAATAAAATCCGCTGTATATATGTCAAGGTATTACCTATCTCTGCTTCCTTGAACAAGAGTTGATATATGTGAATCTCTTAATACAATCATCAGGTTTTATTGAATGAATAACGCCAACCTGTGCATAATGTGTGTTATTGTCACAGTCTTGGGACAACACCGTGGCCATGATTGCCCAGCGCTTCGCGGACTCCTGTCGAGGCGGCCATGACACCATGGAGCAGAGATCCATACCAGGTAGATGTCATCATTGTGCCGAGCATAGCAGCGAAAATAATTCTTCTTCTACTACTACTACTACTACTACTACTACTACTACTACTACTACTGCTACTACTACTACAACTACTACTACTTCTGCTGCTGCTACTACTACTACTTCTACTACTACTGCTCCTACTGCTGCTACTACTACTACTACTACTACAACTACTGCTAATACTACTCCTACTTCAACAACAACAACAACAACTACTACTGCTAATACTACTACTACAACTACTACTACTACTGCTACTACTACAACTACTACTACTGCTGCTACTGCTACGACTACAACAACTACTACTGCTGCTGCTACTACTACCACTACCACTACAACTACTGCTGCTACTACTATTACTGCTGCTGCTTCCACTACTACTACTACCACTACTACTACAACTACTGCTGCTACTACTATTACTGCTGCTTCTTCCACTACTACTACTGCTTTAATGCTGCTACTACTACCGCCGCTGCTACTACTACTACTGCTACTGCTGCTGCTACTACTATAACTGCTGCTGCTTCCACTACTGCTATTGCTACTACTACTACTTCTACTGCTACTACTACTGCTGCTACTGCTACGACTACAAATACTACTACTGCTTCTGCTACTACTACCACTACTACTACAACTACTATTGCTACTACTACTACTACTACTACTACTGCTTCTACTGCTGCTGCTACTACTAACCCTACTACTACTACTACTACTACTGCTACTACTACTACTACTACTACTACTGCTATTATTGCTACTACTACAACTACTACTACTGCTGCTAATGCTACGACTACAACTACTTCTACTGCTGCTGCTGCTACTACTACCACTACTACTACTGCTGCTGCTATTACTATTACTGATGCTGCTTCCACTACTACTATTGCTACTACTACTACTACTGCTGCTGCTGCTGCTACTACTACTACTACTACTTCTTTTACTGCTGCTGCTACTACTACTACTACTACTACTATTACTTCTACTACTACTACTACTACTACTACGACTACTACTGTTACTACTACTGCTGCTGCTACTACTACAACTATTGCTGCTACTACATCTACTACTACTACTGCTGCTGCTACTGTTGCTACTACTACTACTACTACAACTACCGCTACTACTACTACAACTACTGCTACTACGACTACTACTACTGCTACTACTACTACTACTGCTACCACTACTTCTACTACCTCTGCTACTACTACTAGTACTACTACTTCTGCTATTATTGCTACTACTACAACTACTGCTACTACAACTTCTGCTACTACTACTACTACTGCTACTACTATTACTGCTGCTACTACTACTACTACTACAACTGCTACTATTTCTAATCCGATGTTTCGAGGTGACCCCGTCCTTTAACTGACAGTATGCTCCTTGTCCCAAGGATACTTGCGTGTGGGTCAGAACATCGCCCTGCACTCCACGTCCTGGGCCCAGGCCTTTGCTGAATGGTCATCTGAGGAGCAGAGCTTCACGTTTGGGGGCAATAACGATCTTGGCACCATCGGCCACTATTCACAGGTTTGCCAATTAATATATGCTTCATTAGTAATCACTGATTAATCTACGTCTATGTTCGTCTAAGACCAGAGATTCCCGGTAGAATTGTCCCCTCCCATGCTTGTTGTAAGAGACGCCTTCAATGGAGAACGGTTGGTCACAGTGCTGAAGATTGTTCTTTGATGTGTGACCACCAGCGCAGACCACCTGCATTGTTTGTTGTTTACCGCCGCACATTTAGCAATATTCCAGATGAATGACGGCGCCTTGTAAATAATCAAATCTGGATCACAGAAACCAGTGGTTGATATTGTGAACACCGCGGTCTTGGTACAGAGACACACAATCAAACACACAACCGAGCATGATCAGCCAGGCGGCCGAGTCGCCCCGTACACGCATACGCTGACGGTAGTGTACAGGGCCGTACACACGAGGAACCATGATGTACAGATGCTGAAAAGACTGAAAAAAGGTTGCCGGGGATCAATTCCGACATTGGTTTGGTTTGTTGTTTTATGCCGCACTCAGCAATATCAAAGCTATATGACGGCGGTCTGTAAATAATCAAGTCTGGACCAGACAATCCAGTGATTAATATCATGAACATCGATCCACGCAATTGGGATCGATGACATGCATCAACCAAGTCAGCGACTCTGACCACCCGATCCCGTAAGTCGCCTCTTACGACAAGCATAGTCACCTTTAACGTCAAGCATGGGTTGCTGAAGACCTATTCTACCCCGGATTTTCACGGGTCTATTCCGACATTGCTTATTGTTCGTCGACGTGCAGTGTATCTATTCCAGACTCGGTTACCTAGAGGCCGCCTTGATTTATACGTACCGGTGCTGCATGATCACTCATTAATTTGAAGTTCACGTGTGGGGTCGCACACACACAGCCCCCCCTCCCCTACCTCCAGTCCCACGCCATAGGCACACAGACAGACAAAAAAAACCAAAAAAACCTTCTTCAACATTATTTCTTCATATATATTATTATATGTAGGGGTTTATATTTTCCATAATAAGGTACGTACTACCTAATTTGTTCAATTAACAACATATAAAAAAAACACTGCCAAAGAAAAGTCTGTGAAAAAATGTAGTCAACTCAAACAGAAAGAACTCATATTTTTGTTCTCTGAATCCTACCCTTACGGAGGGATAAGTCAATAATAACTCAAAATACCATGATCAATTTGTCGTGCCCTAATCTATCCCGTTAAACAAGGAGAAAAAACTGTTCTTCATTTCACATGACGCCCTTTCTGACAGGCTAAATAATGTAGTCAATAAGAGAAAATCCCCGCAGTCCCCTGGAGACACATTGGCTGGATTTTTTCAATAATTTGTCAATACACAAAAAGATACAATGTGATTTGTTTTCAGCTGGTATGGGCGGACACACAGACGGTCGGCTGTGGCTACGCTGACTGCGGCAATGCTACATACTACGTGTGCAACTACGGCCCTCCGTGAGTAGGCTGTGCGGGAATCTGTCAGGACTCCAATACTATGATGCACCCACCCACACTGTCCTCCTTATAGTTGTCATGTGACCCCTCATCACGTATGTAGTTTCTGTAAGGTAGGAAGTTTACATACACTCCAACTCCGCGATCCAGATATAGTGTATGAACGATAGTCTTGGCATACTCCTCAATGATCCTAAGGTTATATCGCCCGTATCGAACTCCGGATAACTCGATCTGTTTTGCCATTTATTCATGGACCCTATGTACAACTAGGCAAGTAATAGCAGCACTAAACAGGCCAGTCTCGGTAGGGCATCCTCACCCGCACTTCAACTTCAACAATACATACTTGCTTGCTTTTGGCGATCTCACAGTGAGTCACAATGGACACTGGGTATGGATAATACTTAAGTGATTTATGTGGGGACACATTCTCAGTGGTGACCTGGAACAGTGAGTCGATAGTAACCTGCATGTAACTGGATGTAACAGCATGTACCTGGATTTAACAGTATGTAACTGGATTTAACAGTATGTAACTAGATGCAACAACATGTAGCTGGATGTAACAACATGTAACTGGATGTAACAACATGTAATTGGATGTAACAACATGTAACTAGATGTAACAACATATAGCTGGATGTAACAAGACGTAACATCACGTAACAGCATGTGACTGCATGTATCATCATCTAACAACATGTAGCTGGAAGTATCAGCATGTAACTAGATGTAACAGCATGTAACTAGATGTAACATCATGACACTTGAAGTAACAGCATGTAACTAGATGCAACAACATGAAACTGGATGTAACAACATGTAACTGGATGTAACTAGACGTAACATCATGTAACAACATGTGACTGAATGTATCATCATGTATCTGGATGTGACAGCATAAAACTGGATGTAACAGCGTGTAACTGGATTTAACAGTATGTAACTGGATTTAACAGTATGTAACTAGATGCAACAACATGTAGCTGGATGTAACAACATGTAACTGGATGTAACAACATGTAACTGGATGTAACAACATGTAACTAGATGTAACAACATATAGCTGGATGTAACTAGACGTAACATCATGTAACAACATGTGACTGAATGTATCATCATGTATCTGGATGTGACAGCATGAAACTGGATGTGACATCATGTAACTGGATGTAACAACATGTAACTGGATTTAACAGTATATAACTGGATTTAACAGTATGTAACTAGATGCAACAACATGTAGCTGGATGTAACAACATGTAACTGGATGTAACAACATGTAACTGGATGTAACAACATGTAACTAGATGTAACAACATATAGCTGGATGTAACTAGACGTAACATCATGTAACAACATGTGACTGAATGTATCATCATGTATCTGGATGTGACAGCATGAAACTGGATGTGACATCATGTAACTGGATGTAACAACATGTAACTGGATGCAACTGGATGTAACAGCATGTACCTAGATTTAACATCATGTAACAACATGTAACTGGATGCAACTGAAAGTGGCGTCATGTACCTAGATGTAACATCATGTAACTGGATGTAACAACATGTTACTGGATGTAACAACATGTTACTGGATGTAACAAGATGTAACATCATGTAACAGCATGTAACTTGATGTATCATCATGTAACAGCATGGAACTAGATGTAACAGCATGTAACTAGATGTAACAGCATTTAACTGGATGTAACATCATGTAACTAGATGTAAAACCATGTAACTGGATGTAACAGCATGTAACTGGTTGTACCTAGATGTAACAGCATGTAACTAGATGTAACAGCATTTAACTGGATGTATCATCATGTAACTAGATGTAAAACCATGTAACTGGATGTAACAGCATGTAACTGGTTGTACCTAGATGTAACAGCATGTAACTAGATGTAACAGCATTAAACTGTATGTATCATCATGTAACTGGATGTAACTAGATGTAACATCATGTACTTAGATGTAACAGCATGTAACTGGATGGATCATCAAGTAAATAGATGTAACACCATGAAACTGGATGTAACAGCATGTAACAGGATGTAACATCATGTAACTGGATGTAACACCATGTAACTGGATGTAACAGCATGTAACTAGATGTATCATCATGTACCTAGATGCAACAGCATGTAACTGGATGTAACTAGATGAACAGCGTGTAACTAGATGTAACAGCATGTAACTGGATGTGCCTAGATGTAACAGCATGTAACTAGATGTAACATCATGTAACTGGATGTATCATCATGTAACTAGATGACACAGCATGTAACTAGATGTAACAACATGTAACTGGATGTATCAGTATGTAACTAGATGTAACAACATGTAACTAGATGTAACAGCATGTAATTTTGGAATTTTGTCTTTTCCATATCAAAATATCTTGAATGTCTGACATCGCACTTTAAATTTGAATACTGTCACTTTTTAATAAGGGTGACCAAAAGCAACTCGGTTCAGACAGAATGAAACGAAATATTAATGCGACTGCCATGAAACCCTGTCGGGCACAAACCGGATAATGAATTGGAGTGTGACTCGGTGGTACTTTTATCGCTTATAATGAATGATATGCATGTTGAAAGTCTATACAATTTATGTACACCTAGTTTCCTGGCTTATTGAAACACACAGGGCACCACGGTTTCGTGTCTTAGCTGCCTGAATCAGCTGGTCGTGGCCTCTACCCCAATATTCGCCCCCATTATGATCCTAGCTTGATTCGGCGGCAACTTAACCAATATCTTGTACTTCACTTGATGGTGATCGTTTACTGTTAGTGTCAGTGACACGCTACAATATGATTCAAATAGCGCGAAAAGCATATGTTTTACTTCACTGTTACACCTAACTGAAAACAATTTGCTGCTTTTCTGCAGAGGAAACATTGGTGATTTCAACACACCCTACAAAAGTGGCGTCAGCAGCGAATGCAGCGGTCAACATCTCGACGGCAAACAATGCGGTGAGGCTTTCAACCCCATAGTTAGTGAAAGTATAAATGTTACGATCCGAGGAGATGACTGACACACAGCCCTTGGGAACTAGTTCATGGTAGGGAACTATATCGGGGTCGCGTACATCTCACCTCAACAACTCCACCCATGTCATGGGCTTTGATTTCCTACTTGCCATGGGCCTAGTTGCTATGATATCGCCCCACGTATTGCTATTGGTTAAACGTCGCTATATAAGTGCAATAATCTTGGACGCGACGTTCAACCCCATTTCACCTCACCACCTCACTATTGGTTACACTTTAGTCCAATCAGTACTTGCTCTTGTTGAATGCTTGTCCAGTAATACTATTCCAGGAATGCTCTTCCGTCAAAGCGCGTCCACCAATGATCTTCCGTCAATACTATTTCACCAATACGCTTCCGTCAAAGTTCTTCACCAATGCACTTTCGTCAAGCTCTTCCATGAAAGATCTTCCATCAATGACGTATGTCAATGCTCTTCCATCAAACCCCTTCCATCAATGGCTTATGTGAATGCTCTTCCATAAGCTCTTCCATCATTGTATGTCCAGCAACACTATTCCACCAATGCCTTATGTCAATGCCTTATGTCAATGCCTTATGTCAATGCTCTTCCATCAATACCTTCTGTCAGTGCTCTTCCGTCAAAGCTCTTCCATCATTGTATGTCCAGCAACACCATTCCATCAATGCCCCGTCAATGCTAATCCATTAATGCGCTTTTATCAAGCTCTTCCACCCACGGAATCAAACGTTCTTCGATGTCGTTCTGTGTGAGACTGCATAAACCGTGTAGCTGATACAATGCTTTTTGTTTCTTTCCACCCTCAGTTCATACATTTGATAACGTCTACTTCAGATTGTGGCGTCGTATGTTTAAACGGTGGCCAAGTGTTTCGAGAGAATTGCACATGCAAGTGTCAAGCATACCCTTTCTACACCGGAAACAACTGTCAACGTAAGTCGCCAAGTGTGCCTTTGAGGGAGTCAACCCTGAACCTGTCATAACGTATAGTGCCAGCAGCCCTCTCGACAGACTCCCAACACATACACGACAAATCCTTGTTCTATATGCAGTGAAATGCCAGCAGCCCTCTCCACAGGCTCCCAACATATACACGACAAATCCTTGTTCTATATGCAGTGAAATGCCAGCAGCCCTCTCCACAGAATCCCAACACATACACGACAAATCCTTGTTCTATATGCAGTGAAATGCCAGCAGCCCTCTCCACAGACTCCCAACACATACACGGCAAATCCTTGTTCTATTTGCATGAAAATTTGCCAGCAGCCCTCTCCACAGACTCCCAACACATACACAACAAATCCTTGTTCTATATGCAGTGAAATGCCAGCAGCCCTCTCCACAGACTCCCAACACATACACGGTAAATCCTTGTTCTATTTGCGGTGGAATGCTAGCAGCCCTCTCCACAGACTCCCAACACATACACGGCAAATCCTTGTTCTATATGCAGTGAAATGCCAGCAGCCCTCTCCTCAGACTCCCAACACATACACGACAAATCCTTCTTCTATATGCAGTGAAATGCCAGCAGCCCTCTCCACAGACTCCCAACACATACACGACAAATCCTTGTTCTATATGCAGTGAAATGCCAGCAGCCCTCTCCACAGACTCCCAACACATACACGACAAATCCTTGTTCTATTTGCGGTGGTATGCCAGCAGCCCTCTCCACAGGTCAACACATACACGACAAATCCTTGTTCTATTTGCAGTGGAATGCAGCAATGTCGAAACAGACCCCAACGACTGCAGTGGAACGTTTGCCAGCTTTCCTTGCACTGTCGTTGCCGTGAACTGTCCCAACAGGTGCAGCGTGTGCCCATGTAAGTTCCTGACCTTTCTGTGAATGTTAAATATAGTGTCCATGTGTCAGGCGGCGAGGACGTTTACATCTTGAAATTCTACTAATTACTTCCCCCTTCTTATGAAACACAACTATGTCTGCAGTAACTACTGAACTACGAATATTGTCTGGTTTGCAGTAAATCCCTATCTCGAATACCCGAAGCTCTGTTGTTATTTTCCATCTATTCACTTTCTCCAAGATGGCGGCATTCACTATACCGGAAGTCCCAGTGGCAGCACCACCGACAGTCCAGATGGGGGTGCCAGTGGAAGTAACAACAAACAAATCCGTGCGAGTGGTGACGTCATATTAGCTGCTTGCATGGTCATTGTTACTCGAATGGGACTCTTTCACTTGTGATGTTAAAGGCCTGTGCAGTTTTTGAAAAAGAATAAAAGCACACCCATCTGAAGATCGAAACTATCCCTCTTGCCAACATTTATGTTCTCCAAGCACTACCCGGTGGACATCGTAAATGATGTTACATAAAACTAGATTAATACATGTAGAAGACGATATCCATATGGATTATGTAGTTTCCGTAGTTGTTGGGGTCGGCCGAATCATGCATGGCTGAATCGATTTATCCTTTCATGGTACATAACCGTGCATTGACGATATCGCAGTTTGGACGACTGGGGAGAGGTGGGGCGTGGACTTGGCGTGGAGCAATATGGGTGAAGGAATGATGTATCAAACTGTTGTTCGCTATATATTACAGCTTTTACAGAAATACATAACATTCCAGTTTTACTCGACAAACCAGTGTTTGATAGCATAAGCAGCATTCTTTTCTTTGGGAGATGTCCAGTGGGTCATGTTATATAATTCCTTTCCTAGCCGTAGAAATAGTACGGGCATAGATTGAAATGTTTCAAGAATTTACTTTTATTTACATAAATATTTAGTGTTTTGAAATGCGCACTTTAATTTCAGTGCTCATTCCCGTCTCACTAATATACCCTACGACAACAAGTACTGTTGGTATTAATTGTGGCTTCATCAGTTCAAATTCAAAACAGATGTGTTTTGTGTAAATAATTTGAATGTGCAAATAATTATTGTGTAGTAAATTATTAATGTGGTATTTTAAAACATCCAAGGGCTCTTAGGACGCGTGACGTATGTGTTTACTTAAGAAATAAGATACAGGAACGTAACTTTGTTATAGAGAAACAGTTTCATCAATATGGCGCTGAACATCAAGACAAGACTGGTGCAGTTAACTGTTGTGTTGTCGGAGAGATAGTAAATAACATATTTTGTCCACAGTCCTGCACTACTTAATTTTATACACCACAAATAATACAGCAACAACAACAACAACTACAACAACTACAACAACTACAACAACTACTACCGAACAGAAACAACAACAGTTTAAGCACGTTAATGCCGGTAATTTGTATTGAGGGCATCTCCAAAAGAAAATGTTAAATGTTATATAAGGATATGAAATATTTCCTGTGTCTCAGTATGCTGTCCGGCTCCACACCCAATGCCAGCACACTGGACACATTTGGCAGGAGATCTATCACGCTTCCCGTCACCCACATCATAACTAGTGTTTCATAAATAACAATAATTAACGTGTTTTCCTGTGTACATTACTGTTATTTTCCTTTTCTTAACGTATTGCTGACTTTTATGTTAACATGATTTTCAAATTATATTAAAGACCACTTTATCATTTCATGTGTATCGTTGTATTTGGTGGGGCCTTAAGTTAAATCACAAGGAACCTTTTTCGTTACCTCTTTAAAAACTGCTACAAGCTGGCGATTCATGCAGACTTAACTTGAACATTTATCCTTTGGTTGATAAAACTGATTTCAATACTCATGTTGAATCCAACGTTGTGAAGTAACATCCTACTTTCTTCTGTCGCCTCGTGTGAAGCTGATACTTGGTACGATCTTGAAAGCGTGTCTGTGACCTGCGTATAAGGTCAAGGTCACAGTTAAGTAGTTATGCCAAATTCACTTGAATCCGTTGTACTGCAGCCACGAGTTCAGCCTTGTGCATGAAGTGGTTTATCAAGTGTGATGGCATTCTGATGATACATGTGGGTAGGCCACTCTGACCTTTCTGTGAGAAGCATATGTTTTACAGTTTCTTTGTTACGTTAAATTCCACCAGGGGACATCATATTTGGCTTATGTGCTGGCTAGCCCTTGGAATGCTCTTGAAATAATGGTCACTAGCTGATTCACTCTCAAAGTCATACAAGGTCATTCGTGTTCGTCGAAAAATGTTCATTATAGTAGATTAAATAATAAAATCATTAAGATGGCATCTGATTGGTAAGGTTTTGAGTGTCCTTTATTGAAGGTCAAGGTCACTGGAATTATCATGTGTATTGTAGACGTGCAGCTTTGTTTACGGAAACAACCCGCAGTGTTTGTATGAGATGATTGCAAGAGCAAGAACCTGTGTTCGAGTGTATAATTGGCTGAAATTGAGGGTCAGTGTCATTAAACCGGAAGTGCATAAAACCTTTTTAATAGAGTAGTTAGTGACATACGACCTTTTTGTAAAAAAATATGTCATGTATTACACGTGCGTTTATCCAAACCATATGTAAAGTTATTAAACCACACGTATATGGAACATTTTTGCATGGGACTCTCATTATGAATTCGCATCTATGAGAACCATCCTTCACAATTGAATACATAGACGTAATATTTCTCTGTCTGGTAAGAAGAAGTATACAGGCCGTGGATAGAAAGGAAAATTTGCAACTATTGTTTGAGATACATGTCTTATTATAAACATGTCAACATCCTTATAAACATGTTTATGGAGTAGAAATACGCCAGAGTAACGGGTTCATCTGCGTCTTTACACATGAGTATCATATGGAGATTTTATCGATATTGGCGCTCTAACAAACTCAACTTGCCTTATGAATAAAATAGTCATCATGTATTAAGTGCACCACAGCAACGATACTATTTTAATTCGTTATCTTAGAACAGAGTACAGAGCCCGTGTACCCCGACTGAAGAGATTTCAGTTGTTCACTTTGTTAGTATTAGACTTGAATTGATTTTGCCAGAGCAGTTACTCGTTTGTATTCTCACACGTTTCTGAGATTGTATTAATTCGTGTAATCATTTTCGCATTTAATTCATCACCGCATAGAATATACATGATAATATGCCGTATAGAAACATACATTACAGTATGGCTGAGTGCACCTAAACACTAACCAACTCACGTCATTGGCGAATCGTTGTTATGAGCACAGCCCAAAACAAGCAGTGGTGTGATGTTCAGCAAATCGACCACCATTAGCGGCTGGGACAATAACTTGGCGTGCTTTGTAGCGATAACTATGTTCTCTTGTGCCAGTAACCTGACTTGACTGAACACAGAAGATGTCAGACTGACCCCGATAGTCCTAATAGTACATGCTGCATTGGCTGAATGCAAAAGTACAAATGACAGGTCGCATGAAACTCAAAATACCGATTCCATATATTCACGATTCTAAAATCATTTCATTTCCGACAAAATTTCGAGTGACCACCACAACAGTCATATTGCCACTTGGGCAACAACGTGGAGACACAACGGCCAGCCTACATGACATGATGTCCGCTACCTGATAACATGCCGCGGCATTGGTATGCTACTTAGACCAGGAAACAGATACCAGCCTACATGACATGATGTCCGCTACCTGATAACATGCCGCGGCATTGGTATGCTACTTAGACCAGGAAACAGATACCAGCCTACATGACATGATGTCCGCTACCTGATAACATGCCGTGTCAGTGGTATGCTACTTAGACCAGGAAACAGATACCAGCCTACATGACATGATGTCCGCTACCTGATAACATGCCGTGTCAGTGGTATGCTACTTAGACCAGGAAACAGATACCAGCCTACATGACATGATGTCCGCTACCTGATAACATGGCCGTGTCACTTCATATCACGTCACGTCAGCTCATAGGGATGTCCCTCGGATCGATTTCCACATTTTCTGGTGGTCTTTCCTTTTGTCACCCGCGTGTTGTTGAAGCGGTGTTATAAAGTCATCTGATATGCCAGACTTCGTTGCTCGGAGGTAAGCTGACAGGATCTGCCCATAACGGGTTCGACCATGGGTATGTCGGCTTCACAATAAACAAACAGTTCCTGTTGTCCGCTGTGTGTTATTCACATGAATAAAGGTGCTAGTTATAATAACGTTCGAATCCCGTTTCGCCCCGATTATGTTTCTAGGTTTGTCAGCACAATACCCGTGCTCGTGGGTTTCACCGAAGAGTTAAACGTCAGAGACCTGCATCACTTCGGGCTTTCCTCCCACATTAAGCTGACACGCCGTGATATAACTGGAATAAAAGCGAGGTTAACCCAAACTCACTCACTTCAAGCAAATAGTGGCAGTGTGTGTTACAAACACCGTGTAGCTGTTATGAACCTGCAGTGCGTGATAGTTCGCTAAGAACACTACAGCAGATAAACAGCTCCGATACCGAGGAGTTAAGTCATTGTATCTAAAACATGGCACATGGTTATCTCGAAATCTGGACTCCCCGAAGACCTGTGTGACACGTGTATTAATTTCCTCCTCACATAGAAGGGAGACGGTACATCAGTGCAGGGGGACTTCGTGTTGTTCCTGTATATTAATATCCGCAATACTCGCAATACGCGTGCTTGTACAACATATCTCTGTTTGGCGAGGTTGGGAAATGAACCTTTATCAGCGGATATTGATCTTAAGTTTCAAACTCTCTACACGGAAATTATATCTGATCGCCAACGGCGTGATCTGTCCCCTTTTTCCTCCACATAAACGTTTAGGACATATAATCCATATCTGAATGCATGGGAAACTCCCTATGGGGAGAACTGCTAAGTAGAGTGTTTTATCTAAAGTCACCTGGTCTTCTACAGCAAAGATAAGTGGTTGTTACAGCAAAGATACGTGGTTGTTACAGCAAAGATACGTGGTTGTTACAGCAAAGATACGTGGTTGTTACAGCAAAGATACGTGGTTGTTACATTTATCCTGAAAGTCAACTATACAGTGTCGCGCAAAGTGAAATAGTATTTGCTTTTTTTACAAATGCAAGAGCAGAGGCTGATTTCAACATTCATCAAACGAACATAACCTACAGATTGAAATGTTTATGAGGTGCTCCTGGCTAAATCCCCTCCGCTACAATGTACTGAACTGAACGGTACATCGGTGTCAAACATTGTATTACATTACTGTATTAAAGACTGGATACAGGAAAGATTTGAAGATCAAAACGTTTTCACCATAAAGGAAAATGTCTCCGTCTCCGAGATGCCCCCTTGCTGTGTTCCTGACATTAAGCTTTATATCAGGTAAGTAAACTGTTAACTAATGAAGCCTGTTAGCGCTGAGAGATTAACTGACTTAATGGGGGTTTGAAGGTGGCCACTGTGTGGCATGCTGAGGTAAGACATGGGAATTGTCTCTAATCTAGACACATAAACAATACCCTACATAATCAACAGATGAGTAAATGTTGTTTCGTTAATTGTGAATATTCATAAAATATAATATTAAAATAGTATTTGACACTTGACTTATTAACGCTTCTGGTGGTCGATTTGTTAACGGATGTTAACTGTTTTCCGTGGCCTGTGTAGGTCCCCACTCCCTCCTCCTGGTGTAAAGAGGCGACTACAATGGGGATCTGAGACTTGCTGTTTCCCGTGGCCTGTGTAGGTCCCCACTCCCTCCTCCTGGTGTAAAGAGGCGACTACAATGGGGATCTGAGACTTGCTGTTTCCCGTGGTCTGTGTAGGTCCCCACTCCCTCCTCCTGGTGTAAAGAGGCGACTACAATGGGGATCTGAGACTTGCTGTTTCCCGTGGTCTGTGTAGGTCCCCACTCCCTCCTCCTGGGGTAAAGAGGCGACTACAATGGGGATCTGAGACTTGCTGTTTCCCGTGGCCTGTGTAGGTCCCCACTCCCTCCTCCTGGTGTAAAGAGGCGACTACAATGGGGATCTGAGACTTGCTGTTTCCCGTGGTCTGTGTAGGTCCCCACTCCCTCCTCCTGGTGTAAAGAGGCGACTACAATGGGGATCTGAGACTTGCTGTTTCCCGTGGCCTGTGTAGGTCCCCACTCCCTCCTCCTGGTGTAAAGAGGCGACTACAATGGGGATCTGAGACTTGCTGTTTCCCGTGGCCTGTGTAGGTCCCCACTCCCTCCTCCTGGTGTAAAAAGGCGACTACAATGGGGATCTGAGACTTGCTGTTTCCCGTGGCCTGTGTAGGTCCCCACTCCCTCCTTCTGGTGTAAAGAGGCGACTACAATGGGGATCTGAGACTTGCTGTTTCCCGTGGCCTGTGTAGGTCCCCACTCCCTCCTCCTGGTGTAAAGAGGCGACTACAATGGGGATCTGAGACTTGCTGTTTCCCGTGGCCTGTGTAGGTCCCCACTCCCTCCTCCTGGTGTAAAGAGGCGACTACAATGGGGATCTGAGACTTGCTGTTTCCCTCGGCCTGTGTAGGACCCCACTCCCTCCTCCTGGTGTAAAGAGGCGACTACAATGGGGATCTGAGACTTGCTGTTTCCCGTGGTCTGTGTAGGTCCCCACTCCCTCCTCCTGGTGTAAAGAGGCGACTACAATGGGGATCTGAGACTTGCTGTTTCCCGTGGCCTGTGTAGGTCCCCACTCCCTCCTCCTGGTGTAAAGAGGCGACTACAATGGGGATCTGAGACTTGCTGTTTCCCGTGGCCTGTGTAGGTCCCCACTCCCTCCTCCTGGTGTAAAGAGGCGACTACAATGGGGATCTGAGACTTGCTGTTTCCCTCGGCCTGTGTAGGACCCCACTCCCTCCTTCTGGTGTAAAGAGGCGACTACAATGGGGATCTGAGACTTGCTGTTTCCCGTGGTCTGTGTAGGTCCCCACTCCCTCCTCCTGGTGTAAAGAGGCGACTACAATGGGGATCTGAGACTTGCTGTTTCCCGTGGCCTGTGTAGGTCCCCACTCCCTCCTCCTGGTGTAAAGAGGCGACTACAATGGGGATCTGAGACTTGCTGTTTCCCGTGGTCTGTGTAGGTCCCCACTCCCTCCTCCTGGTGTAAAGAGGCGACTACAATGGGGATCTGAGACTTGCTGTTTCCCGTGGCCTGTGTAGGTCCCCACTCCCTCCTCCTGGTGTAAAGAGGCGACTACAATGGGGATCTGAGACTTGCTGTTTCCCGTGGCCTGTGTAGGTCCCCACTCCCTCCTCCTGGTGTAAAAAGGCGACTACAATGGGGATCTGAGACTTGCTGTTTCCCGTGGCCTGTGTAGGTCCCCACTCCCTCCTCCTGGTGTAAAGAGGCGACTACAATGGGGATCTGAGACTTGCTGTTTCCCGTGGCCTGTGTAGGTCCCCACTCCCTCCTTCTGGTGTAAAAAGGCGACTACAATGGGGATCTGAGACTTGCTGTTTCCCGTGGTCTGTGTAGGTCCCCACTCCCTCCTCCTGGTGTAAAGAGGCGACTACAATGGGGATCTGAGACTTGCTGTTTCCCGTGGCCTGTGTAGGTCCCCACTCCCTCCTCCTGGTGTAAAGAGGCGACTACAATGGGGATCTGAGACTTGCTGTTTCCCGTGGTCTGTGTAGGTCCCCACTCCCTCCTCCTGGTGTAAAGAGGCGACTACAATGGGGATCTGAGACTTGCTGTGCATATGCCATCTCACTCCGCCAGAGTTGATCGTTACGAATTCTTCAAATCACTTGTTTGTCTGGTCCTGATTCGAACATTTACTGTCCGCCGTGAGCTGGGTTACTGCAGCGTCATATAACATGCACCACTCACACACATGTATGCATCTCGCATGCATAATCGTCATGGAAAAATAGATTGTTCTTAACACACACCCTATACATTTCAAACGGATGCGCCCTTAGAATATATAGCTTGATTGTTTCATATTCATGATTACTTAAGGAATATTCTTTACACTGGTACATACGTATCACCATTATTAATATTTATAGTAACTTGAGACCGATATTGATGGTATATCAGCCATAGTTTATCAGCTTGTACATTCAGTCTTAATATAGCAGTTTTTTTATATTCGGCCATTGTCTATCAGCTTGTATAAACAGCCGTGATATATCAAATTATATATTCAACCATTGTCTATCAGCTTGTATAACCAGCCGTGATATATCAAATTTTATATTCAACCATTGTCTATCAACTTGTATATTCAGTCTTGGTATATCAACTTATATATTCGACTATTGTCTATCAGCTTGTATAACCAGCCGTGATATATCACATTTTATATTCAACCATTGTCTGTCAACTTGTATATTCAGTCTTGATATATCAAATTTTATATTCAACCGTTGTCTATCAGCTTGTATAATCAGCCGTGATATATTAGCTTATATATTCTGTCATGATATATCAACTTATATATTTAGCCAGTGTATATCAGCTTGTATATTCGACCATAGCATATCACCTACTTATACATTAAAGAAATATAATTTAATCATGCAATTGTTTTCATAAAAAAAACGCAATTCCAAACTGACTGATTTCGAACAGCTGTTCACGAATCGATTATGTCTCGGTATCTTTGGATATTTGTATTTTTAGTATCCTTTCTAACCCCACCTCAGTCAAGGTCACGTTGACCTTGATAACGCGAAGGAATATGTGTAGAATGGTGGAAATTATTAATGACTTACTTGATAGATCATGTACTAGACTGATAGCATTTATGAGACATGAAGTCGTGTTGTCGGGTCGTCATGGGAACAACGTGTACGGTCGTACGTGAAGGGGCCAGAAGGCGATTACCCCACGAAACACGTGTATCGATAACAACAGACCTTGTGTTGTATAGAAACGTATATTGTCTGTAAAAACTTAATACAGCTTTCATTCATTAGCCACCATATCTTTCAGAAACTGTTTCAAGATCTGTACAGGGCATGTCGCTTTGACCAGAGAACCCCATATTTATTCTATTTACACACAACTTATCGCTAACAGAGTTACAGCTTCTTGTGTGTGTGTATTAAACACATGTACGGTGCAATTAACCCCGTGCGGTACCCGTTCCTGGTGTTCTTGCAGTGATAAGCCTTAAATGTTGCCCTAAAGCAATGCTCCCTCACTCACCCACTCAATAACCATACAGTTTGGATATCACGAGGTGCAAGCGGTGTCTATTTTTAATTTATCCAAACATGAAAGCACACTTGTCCGCGTTACAAGACAATATTACAAAGTAACATTTATGCAAAACACAGTAACTGGAAGAAAAATAGTATTGATCATTGGCATTTTACAAACGCCCGAGGCATACAATGTAAATATATCCTTATTTATCAAAGTATGTACATATATGACCATATATAGTATTCACATGCTGTTAGATTTCAATATGAGTTGTTTTTAAACGGGAACTTTTAAACAGATCCCACACGTATGGAAGATAATTTATGGATGTCAACTTCTTTATTATGAGAAACACAACGTTTTGGAGTATATGCTTACTCCTCCATCAGGTGATGATGCTATGAGGCAGAGGGCATATATGTTCATGTAAGAACAACAAAAGTAGTAAGATAACAAAAGGTGGAAACTTAACTATGGAAGCCAACAGATAATTGCCGCTGATAGGTGATTAGCAACAGACAATGGAAGCCAACACTTTACAGTAATTACCGCTGATAGTTTTGACAACTGGATGCCAGGACTAAATGATCACTGATGCTCCGAAACGTTGTGTTCCTCATACTAAAGGAGTTGACATCCATGAATTATCTTCCTTATGTGTATCACTTCTAAATGTCTTTCAAAGACTTATATGACGCTATGATACCTTACAGGACGGCTGTATGCGATGACGCCATGATACCTTACAGGACGGCTCGATGATGCTATGATACCTTACAGGACGGCTGTATGCGATGACGCCATGATACCTTACAGGACGGCTCGATGATGCTATGATACCTTACAGGACGGCTGTATGCGATGACGCCATGATACCTTACAGGACGGCTCGATGATGCTATGATACCTTACAGGACGGCTGTATGCGATGACGCTATGATATCTTACAGGACGGCTGTATGCGATGACGCTATGATACATTACAGGACGGCAGTATGCGATGACGCTATGATATCTTACAGGACGGCTGTATGCGATGACGCTATGATACATTACAGGACGGCTGTATGCGATGACGCTATGATATCTTACAGGACGGCTGTATGCGATGACGCCATGATACCTTACAGGACGGCTGTATGCGATGACGCTATGATACCTTACAGGACGGCTGTATGCGATGACGCTATGATATCTTACAGGACGGCTGTATGC